GTTTTAGTTGGTGTTTTTTAGCTTTTAGCCAGAGTCACATTTGTTTTAGTTAGTGTTTTTTAGCTTTTAGCCAGAGTCACATTTGCTTTAGCTAGTGTTTTTTAGCTTTTAGCCAGAGTCACATTTGCTTTAGTTAGTGTTTTTTAGCTTTTAGCCAGAGTCACATTTATTTTAGCTAGTGTTTTTTAGCTTTTAGCCAGTGTCACATTTGTTTTAGCTAGTGTTTTTAGCTTTTAGCCAGTCACATTTGTTTTAGCTAGTGTTTTGTTTATTTTAGCTTTTAGCTAGAGCCACATTTGTTTTAGCTAGTGTCAAATTGTTTTAGCTTTTAGCTGGCATTTTGCTTTTGCTTTTAGCTATAGGTTTTAGCTTGTGTTACATTTGCTTTCGCTACTGTCTTACCTCATAGTTTTCAACTAATTTCTTTTACCTTTAAGAAGTCTTTTCTTTCCTTCTTCAGTAAATTTCAGCTGTCGTTGAGCCGTCACACCGAGTTTTAGCAGAAAATGTCATTTTTCTGGTTTACAGTTGTAAATCTTCAGACGCTGCTGTGTTTTTGTTTTGTCTGAAACATTTCACAGGAACACAGTGTCTGACTCAGTAATCCGTCTGAATGAGCCACCGTCTCTGTGTGCAGACAGGAAATTAGAGCTCCGCTGCAGAACCTGGATCTGTGGCGCTTCCCTGAGTTCAACAACAAGATGGTGATGGAATTGGTGAGGACATGTCATAAACTCAGTTGTCTCTGAAAAGAAATATAAAAAAACCAGCAGCTGAGAGACAGATAAAACCTAACTTGGTGATTTTATGAATTTTCTATTAGAGAGAAATCCCCTGGGATGAGACGGTTCCTGCTGCTGCAGCCTGACAGCACAAAATATCTGCTGGAACGATAATGAGTACAAGATTTATGGTCTCCATCGCTTCTCAGCTCAGCTGTCAGACAAAAGCAGCAGCCGGAGTCAGGGTGAGAGGAAAGAGCTGTTTGACCTGGAGTCACACTGTGGTCAGACATGTTCTACATGATGATCTGCAGCSTGCGCTCAAATCACATCATTAAATGTTCGTTTGCACAGACATCATCAGCACAGCCGAAGGTGAGGCAGGGCCGCAGCTAGACATTGTTGCATCGGGTGGCACAAGGTGTTTTTAGAGACGTCAGACAAATAAATAAAACTGCTCTGGATTTAAAAATTCAAGATGACATCCTCAGCTAACTCTAATTCAGCTGTTTAAAGAAATATTCAGCTGAAATTTTGTGTGTGATTGTATCTAAGAATGATAAAAAAAAATGCTGATTTTTAGTTCCAACTAAGATTACTGCTAATGCTAATTTCACATAAGGGCTATAATTTAGTCATTTTAAAAAAGCACAGCTGAAAATTAGTGTAGTAGTAGCTGAGAAAAAATAATTTATAATCTAATTTCTAATATAAAATTCAAGATGGCTACCAAAGCTATTTTTAGAAACACTGAGCTGAAATTAGGTGTGGTGGTAGCCAAGAGCAATCTCTATGATGTACTAAAAGCTAAACCAGCTAGCAAAAAAAAAAAAGTCCTCATTAAATGCCCATCTTTGAAATGCAAACTCCACCCCACTTGTCAATCATTTTAGGGGTGGCACCTAAAATGATTGACAAGTGGGGTGACCAATCAGGGCCACCCCTCTTGCTCCGCCCCTGAGTTGAGGACATCATGGAGAGTAAAATAATACTGTAAAAAYGATTAAATAAAGCCTAACCTGAATAACAGAATAAAATGCCCACAGATCAGAATATTATCAGGACTAATCTTTACTTATCAGTAATATCTGGACAAAAATGCTCACCTGGTCATTTCAGCATATATTATAAAATTAGATAAATAAAACTTTAAAGTTGGTATTTGACTGGGCTCATGTTGGAGACAAGAACAGGCAAATAATCTGGTTCAGTTTCACCAAATATTAAACAACAGATGGACTAATAAACGAAGRGATTTGCTTTTTAGCTCAGCTCCTGTTTCACTACAACAGACTGGAGTAACTCACTCATTACTGCAGATGAGGGTCTACCTGTAGCTCCATCCTGACATGCAGTCCTCCTGTGTGTTTTACCTGTTTCTCTGCTCCAACACACCTGGTTTTAATAAGTGGTTGATCACCAAGCATCTACAGAACATGGAGTTCATTCAGTGAGTGAACACATGGAGCAGGATTTCCCACCTGAGCATGACACAGATACCTGAGGCATAGGCCCACCTCTAATCCAGAGGGGTTTGTATTTCACCTCTTTCTGATTGAGGACTATGATGKAAGATATGAGCTGCTTTGCTGCTGGCTGTGAACTCCTCCACAGAACTCTGAGGGTCATGGTTTAAACATGAATCGAATCACATCATCTGCAAGAAAGCAGAAACAAGACTCTGAGGTTCCCAAACCAAAGCCCCTCCTCTTTGTGAGGATTTAAATAAAAACCTGCTGTTTTTATTGGAGAAACTGAAGCTGAATAAAACGTGTTGCTGCTGTAGGTTTGTTCCTGTCCATTTTGAAGGTTCAGCTTCAAAGATGAAGACCCATGAGTTTGTTTCTGTGAACCTCCTCTCTGCCATTACCAGTTTTTTACGACGAGCATCGATTGCGAAGCCCCGGTGCTTCCCGTGTGTTTACCGGAACAGTTTCAGAAGACGGTTTACAGCTTACATTATCTGCASTCTGTTACCCGTAATTACTTATCTTCTGCTGCGGGCTTCATATTCGGGCCGGGACTGTAAAGATCTGAGACGATGTAAACTTGAGGCRGACGGTGAAATTGCTCAGGAGCCGGAGTATTGATTTCATTTAGCTCCACCGGTGCCGAGACTTGTAAACAGGTGCGGTTCTGTAATGGAGTTACAACACGCCGTGCTGGTAAYGCAGCAGAAGAGTAATGCGAGGAGACGTATCAAGGTCACCGTCTCCCTGAGCGGCGTTGTGCAGCGGGCCCCGCCCACAGACCGGCTGCAGGTGTGAATGAGCGGGAAACCGGAGGAAATGTGCACAGCTTGAAGATTGGTCCCTGATGATTTACATTATAGGTGTGTTTTTTACATCAATACATCAGTGTCAGGGTAATTATAAACACTTGCTGTAATTATCAGCAGCAAATGGGAACACAGAGATGTCTGTGGTGATCTGTCTGCATCTGACTGAGCTGGTTCTGAACTCATTTAGTGCACAACGTTAAGCTTTTAACATTTAATTTAATTCCACACAGAAAAACTGAAAATATTAATACAAAAATAATGCAAACTCTGCAAAAACACCAAGTCAGGGTTTCAACACTGTTTGGTTTTAACTTCATTATCAATGAAAGYAGCATTCCTTGACGGACTGCATATGACCTGCTGCCTTGTGTGATCTGTTAGTGTTCAGAGTATGTGTTAGGCATGACCCTCAGCTACTACCACTCCAAGTTTTAGCAAATTATCTATAAAAATAACAGAGTTACAGTCATTTTTGTTTGTTAATGTTGATAAACTCRGTGGCCATTTTGCATTTGGACTAAATTTAAAAGTTGCAATAATGATGATGATGGTTTTTATTAACTCTTTAAAGAACCTAATGAGATAAATAAGATAAAAACTCACCGGATGAAAAAAAAGGGATGAGGAGTGGAGTTTAGAAAAAAAAATCAAACAATGAGCAGAATTATCAGAAGCAAAAACTTTAATTTAACCTAGAAACAGAAACATCGGTAAAACAAAACAAAAACAAAACAAAAACAGAAAAAGTGAAATATTCACAAAAAACAGATGAAACACAAAAAGACAAGACAAACTAGAGCAGAAATCTTCCAACACAGAAAATTAAACCATGAAGACAAACGTCCAGCGTGAACAGAAAAGGACTAACCTGGTTTTCAGCCTGATTACTCTCTGCGCAGCACCAGCTCCGCTCTGTGCGGTGGGCCTGAAACGATGCATGCTGGGTAGAAATCGTCCTGACTTCCTGTCGTCGCCGTGTCACCTGGAGTTAAAACCTCCCAGGCTGGGGTCAGGATGGGTCAGACGCTCTGCTGCTGGAAACCCACCTCCGTTAGGAACTCAGTGAGGCCTGAAACCTGAAGTCTGCTACACAACCTGCTGCTACACAACCTGCCGCTGCACAACCTGCTGCTACACAACCTGCCGCTACACAACCTGCCGCTACACAACCTGCCGCTTCCTCTTTTAAAGGCCGACACAGCGACAAACAAGCTAAAAACATTTAAAACACTTCGAAAAGAACTGGATTTTCTGCAAAAACATCCAGTGTGGAGATGAAATGTGCAAAATAACTGCAGCAAAACACTGCCTAAAAATTAAAAGTATCTCAAATATTCATGCATGTTTTTATTCTATTATTTATCGTTTTATTTTCTTTGTTTTATTGCAGTTTTACAGATTTCCACTTTCCGTCCCTTCGCTCCTGTTTCTTCTCAGTTTTCCCCCCATAAATAAATAAATCCTGCAGTCAGCTGAAGTCCAGAACATCGGGCCGCGGGCTCAGAACCAGGTACAGTGTTCTCTATAAACCAATATCCATAATTAATATAATATTCCCTGCAGACGGCAGCTGCATGCTTCCTGATCTGCTCTGCATTAATAAGGGAACTCTGAGGCTTTCTGCAGAAAAACTGCAGGAATTTTTAAGCTGTGGTTTTTTACCTGCAGCTGCAGCAGCTATAATGAAATACTTTTAATTAAAACATATTTTGATGTGTTTTCAGGGACTATATCAGCTATTTTTATTAAATTCCTTGTCTACTTTTAACTGTTTATCATGCAAAGGTGAAATTAATCTCTTGAATCCATCCTTTTTTAATTTATTGAAGACATTTGTTACATTTTTTCTTCAACCTTAAAGCCTGGCTGCAAACCTGCTTCTCAGAAAGCAGGAAATAATTCAGAAAATGAGAATTGATGATGCCATCAGGTGGGTTTAATAAATGTGTCAGATTAGTGATTAACACAAAGGGTTCAGTCCTTTAAGAAGCCGTCACGTGTCGTTTCAACGCTCATTTGTATTCTTTAAGATATTTGATGTAACAAAACAAGAGAGGCATAAATGAGATTTATTCTCCGTCTGCAGCTGAAAGATCGAAGCAAATAAGATAAAYGAGCAGATTGGACACATTATGTCCTAATAGCATCATAAGTTCTGACTCTGAGTCGCAGCGTTTCATTAAATGAAAATATGTGCTGCAGAAAGATACAAATTAAACTCTAGAAGTGATTTATTCCTGCTGCTGTCCATTCATTAATATGTGAATATAAGAGTTGTTTTTGAATAAATAAGTTGTTATCTGTGAGAATCCAGGCTTTCTGCTGCAGCGTTCAGCCGTGCAGAGTGCAGAACAGGAAGCAGCAGCTGAGGGGGGTTCAGTCTGCTGAGTCACTGCTGCTCCCTCCACGACCTGCTCAGGTATTTCTGCTCCGGCTCTGCAGGGATGGAGCTGAAAATAAGTGTCAAATATTAGATTTCAGAGCAGCGCTCCTCGGTTTGAGGGAGGATTTGGAGGTTGGTTTAAACGTGTCTCGTTCTCTGGATGAGGAGACTTCTGTCGGCTCGCGCTTTCAGAACAGAAGACTCTAATAATGTCCTGATTTCACAGCAGGAACAAAGATCAGKTTCTGTGTGAGCCCAGAACTTCAGCTGCAGAATCAGGTTTTATTTTGTTAATATGTCTACGTGAGGTGAAGCTTTAATATTAGTTCT